CCACTGCACTCTAGACTGGGTGACAGAGCAAGACTCTGTCTCAAAAAAAAAAAAAAAAAAAAAGGAATGAAATGAGGTGATCTCCAAGGGCTTATCTAATTCGCATGCCCTGGATGAGTTCAGTTTCTAGATACAGAGAACATCACACAAAAAAGGTCACAATATTTGAAATCAGACTTACTAATATACAGACTTCTTTGGATGGCAAGAAATTGAAAAGAAAACAGCCACCTGACTCTCCTACTGGGAACTCAGACAAAATAAACCACTATCCTCTAGGTTGCAACTGCATCCCAGGCTGCTGTATCCACTCACTGCCTGAAGAACCCAGCCGCAGCTTTTGGTTTTGTGGCCAATGACTGCCCAGCCCTCTCCCAGTGGCCTTAGGATGAAATCCAGCTGCTGTGAATCTTCGCATTTATTTTGTTCATTGTGAAGTTGTTTTCCATGACAGAAATATAACTAAATTACAGAAATTTAGGGTTAGAAGCGGGAGGATTGTAATTTATCCCCAAATCCTGCAACTTTTAAGTTTCCTCCTAGAATCTTCCTGTGTTTGCCTTGTTACTGCTCGATCTGCCAAGAACCAAATGAATGCCAAAGAGCATCTTGTTCCTAGACTGTTTTCCCTCGGTCCCAGAGGCCAAAAAACACACTCTTGCCATGTCTGTTTCTGAGAGCTCTGGTCTGGGAATCTTTTCCTGGAAAACTTTTTTTTTTTTTTTTTTTGAGACGGAGTTTCGCTCGTCACCCAGACTGGAGTGCGACGGCGCAATCTCGGCTCACTGCAACCTCTGCCTCCTGGGTTCAAGTGATTCTCCTGGGTTCAAGCGATTCTCCTTCCTCAGCTTCTCAAGTAGCTGGGATTACAGGCATGTGCCACCACACCCGGCTAATTTTTTTGTATTATTAGTAGAGACGGGGTTTCACCGTGTTGGCCAGGCTGGTCTCGAACTCCTGACCTCAGGTGATCCACCTGCCCCACCCTCCCAAAGTGCTGGAATTACAGGCATGAGCCACCGCTCCCAGCCTTTCCTGGAATGTTTTATGCTGAAACATAACAGAAATGAACCCAGGGACAGGGCTTACAGCCCTTCTACACTGCGCATAGAACTCACTCTTCACCACTTGCTCCTGTGAGGAACAGAAAAGAGCACAGCCAAAGGAAATGTATTCCAATCCCCAGCCCACCTCAGATTAGCTGTGACTTCAGGCTCATCCCTTCACCTTCTGGACCCTGCTTTCCTCATCTGTAAAGTAGGAACAAGTAGATAGTACAAACTTCTAAGATCCAGGAGGATGAAACAGGGTAATGTACAGATAAGCTGAAAATGTTTGTGATGAGTGAATGTGCCTCCAGTGGAAAAGCCTATATGCAGGCATGGATATGTCTGAATCTCACAGATGGGTCCACATCTGTTGGTGTCAGATCTCTCCAGAGACCACCTCTATTCAATTCAGCAAACATGCTGCCGCAGGTCATGTTCAGGTCTCTGGAGCCTTGTCACTGAGGGGCTTGCATCTGGCAGGAGAGATTCAGGGCAACAGCAGAATGAAGCCAGAGACTGAAAGATGACCAAGGGGCAGTAGGAGCACAGGATAGGGGCATCTGTCATTTCTCCCTCCCTGGGGTCTCAGGCTCACTAAGACCTGAGATTGAGCAGGGCAGGCAGAGGCCATGGTCCTCATGCCTACAGAACAGCTCTGCAGAAGAGCCGTGTCGCCTTTGGGGAGGCTTGGGGCAGGAAGTTTCACAGGTGGGGAATATGAGAGCCTGCCCAAGATCTCCCAGGAAGACAGAACTGGAGAGCCCAGAACTAGGCCTCCAGAAGCCCTGGTCAGCCTCTTTGAAGAATCTGAATCCAGTTTTTAGAAAAGTGGGCATCAGAGGCCTGGGTTCTTACCCAGCTCTGCTATGTGAGCCAAGGGAGCTGCCCCATCTCTGGGCCTCAGTTTTTATACCCATGAGTGCGGGCCATTCCAGATTTGACCTAGGCACCCGAATTCAGGCAGGCAGCCCCTGAGCACCAGAGTCCTGAAAACCTGAGCACTGACTGCTGAGAGCCTGGAGGAGCTGTCAGCATCCATTTTCACCCCTCTGCTGAACGGGACTGAAGAGACTGGAGGGAGGAACAGCCTTCCTGCTGACATGCCCCTCTGAACTCCTCTGCTCAGTCTGTGAGCTCCTCTTCCTCCTGCCTACCGGGAACTCCTTGGCCTGTTTCTGGCCTTACAGACTTGTTCCTCCAGGAATCACCCCGTCCTACTGGGAGGGGGACCTCCAAGCAAGTTAAGGTGAACATGTGCTCCTTGAGAGAGGCAACTCCACCCGACAGCAGCTGCGTGTGTGGTAAGATTGACACCCCTAAGGTACAAGGGAAGGCTTTGGTGGAGCCGAGGGATCACCGTCCCAGAGATCAGTCAGACCATTTCCTGAGCACCTCCTCTGGGCTCTCTAAGCACAGTCTCCACTGCAACCCTGTGAAATGGGGGAGAAACACAATGGCACAGCTGGCCTCCCAGGATTCAAGTTCCCTCACTCCCGTGTCCCTGCATGTCCCTCACTTCAAGGGATACTAACTGTCCAGGCTCAGGACCCAGAATAGAAAAGGGCAAAGATGCAGGGAGGGAGTCAGGTTAGACACAAGGCTAGCATCACACCTCTACCCCCGTGGTGTCAGGCAGGGGGCACACCCTGGGGGAGGGGGCATGCCCTGCAGCCCTGCCTAATTGGGAATCTGAACACCTTGCTTTAAAAAGAGTGTGTGTAATGCAGCCACAGTCCAGCTGCAGGGCCTCTCTGAGCTCAGTTTTCTCACCTGGGAAACATGGTATCTACATGGCAGTGCAGTTGGGAGGAACAAATAACGCTGCAAAAAGGGTGCAGGGCAGGGCCTGGCATCTCCTAAGGGCTCAGTCACGGTGGCTGTAGGAGTGTCGGTCTCCCCAGCTGTGTGTCCCTGGAAATTGGAATGGCCACAGTAGACTAGGCAGCTGGTGACCCCTGGTGGCTACTGGGAGCCAGGGCATGAGGGCTGGGGCAGAGTAGAAGTCTCAGTATTGAAGAATGTTGGAACCCAAGACTCTTAGACTGTTAGACTGGCTGAGTCCTTGAATAAGAGAAGGTTGCTGAGATGGAGTTTCACTCTTGTTGCCCAGGCTACAGTGCAATGGCGCATTCTCGGCCCACTGCAACTTCCTCCTCTGGGTTCGTGATTCTCCTGCCTCAGCCTCACAAGTATCTGGGATTACAGGCATGTGCCACCACGCCCAACTAATTTTGTATTTTTAGTAGAGACAAGATTTCACTATGTTGCTCAGGCTGGCCTCGAACTCCTGACCTCAGGTGATCCGTCCTCCTCGGCCTCCCAAAGTGCTGGGATTACAGGTGTGATCCCACCACACCCAGCCTGAATAAGAAAATTTAACCACTTAATAAACATTTCCTGAGTCATTCTCTGTGCCAGGCCTGATCCCAGGGAATAAATCTATTCCTATCCTGGCCTCTTCCAAGAATTCCTTGGCTTAAAATGGAGGGAGGCAGATACAAAAGGGGAGCTCAGAGACAGAGGAGGCCTCTACCCAGCTTGGCAGGCAAAGGAAGGGGAATCCTGAAAGAAAAATTTGAATTGGGGGCTGGGAGGGAAGGAGAACATTCTGGGAAGAAAGAAAAGCATGTCTGAGACGCACTCATGATAGCAAGGAATAGCCAGGCACGGTGGCATGCACCTGTAGGCCCAGCTACCGGGGAGGCTAAGGCAGGAGGATCGCTTGAGCACAGGAGTTTCACACCAGCCTGGGCAACATAGTGAGACCTCATCTCTAAATGAGTAAATGAATGAGTGAATAGCAAGGAAATAAGAGGCAGCTGAGAGGCCAGCAGAGTCACATCCCAGGGGCTCCAAATTTCATGCTGGGGTTGGGGGTGGTCTCTAAAGGCAGCAGGGGAACTCCAAAGGATTGGACTTGTGACCACGACACCCTAGAAAGTCACCCTGTTGGGCCAAGCATGGTGCTGTGCACCTGTAATCCCAGCCCTTTGGGAGGACCAGGTGGAAGGCTTACTTAAACCCAGGGGTTTAAGGCTGCAGGGGTTTGAGGCTGCAGTGAGGTTTTTTGTGTGTCTCAAAAGCAACAACAACAAAAAAAGTCGCTCTGGCCGTAGTAAGGGAAAGGATTGGATGGGGAGACTGCAAGTCTAGAAGGTGGCCCACAGTGGCAGGAGGGATGGAGGAGTACTAGATCCAGCAGCACAAGGTCCCAGGGACATGGGGTGCAGGAGGAACAAATCACTTGCAGGGGAGATGATGGCCAGGAGGCAGCTGAACCAAAAGTAGTGAATGGTCTGGAAGTCAACAGAGTATAGGTGTTGCCATTTAACCAACACTGTCTGTCTCCACAGGCCTGTGCCCAGTCCTAGGTGTGAAGGAAATTGGTTTGTCCCAACTCTGCCCTGTGGGCTCTGCCTTGTAAGCAAAGCCCCAGGCCCAGGTCTGGCCCACACCTGCCCTCCCCCAGGCACAGACACATAGAGGCCCTACTCTGCCCCACCCTGGGCACTACCTCTGGAGGAAGAACGCAGACCCAGTCTAAGGGAGGCCCCATGGACCAAGGACTTTGATATCACTACCTGGGTTTTTAGGATCTTCCCACCAGGACCCCTCTGGGTTGCCTCCCTGCCCCTTCCTCAGAGCTCCCCCAGCCCCTCCTCAGCTTCAGTCTACCCTGGGTGCCTGAAGCAGGTGGGCCTAACATGTTGCTTAGGCCTCAGGACCAGGTTGGACCAGGAGTCACATCCATGGCTCTTTGCCACCTCAGGGCCTTTCTTCCTGCTGTTTCCATGGTTAGACTTGAGCAGCACCTGTCTCCGCAGGCAGAGACTGGGCTGGCTGCCCCAGCTCTGTATGGAAGGAGGAAGGGGGCCAAACCTGGGTCTCCCAGAGCCCACTAGCCCAAAGGTCTCCATATCATGAATGCTGCAAAGAGGCAGGCAGACGCAGTTTAGATATCATTTTTTTTCTACTTGGGGAGAAAAAGTGAGGAGATAGAGATAAAAATACAAAGAAAAACTAGCTTCATTTTTAAACAAACAGGCCAGGTCCTGCCAGGCCTTCTTCCCCATTAAATCCCAAGGCCATCTTCAGTCCCAACCCCAACCCCCGCACGGCGCCGAGGGAAGCTTCAGGCTTCGGGCAAGAGCTCCAGCCCAGGCAGGGAAGTCGTGGCCCTAGTGCCAGAGCACAACCTTCCTGCCCTGGTCCACGCTCACCACGTGGCTCCCGGAGTAGCACCAGGCCACAGCGTTGACAGCAGTGCTGGGGAAAGGGAGGGGCAGGCTTCAGGGGGGCTTTGGGAACTATGCCTGCAACCTGGCTCTGCCCCGACTGCTGGACCTGGGTAGTTTGAGGCCCTCTCTTGAGTCTGTTTCCTCATCTGTAAAGTGAGCTCACAGAGCTGTGGAAAGGACAGACCCAGTGTGTGTGGAAAGTACCTTGTGAACTGCAAAGGGCTCTGGTCGGGTGGAGGGTGGAGGGACAAGGGCTGGAGACTCCAGAGTCCCAGTATGTCAGAACCTGGAATCAGCCTGGCAGGACTGGGGCCAGGCAGGTGGCCAGGTAGAGGCCATGCTCACCAATGGGGTCCCTGAAGTCTGCTTTCCAGTTTCCCGGTGTCCACATCCCAGATGTAAAGGGCCCCATCATAGGAGCCTGCCAGTGCATAGCTTCTGTCCGGGCTGTAGTGGCCACAGCAGAGCAAAAAAAGTGGGGGTGGGGTCAGAGAGGAGGGCACACACAGGGTCCAGCAGGGCACACTTGGACACAGGCATATGCTGTCACAGACATACCTGAATACAGCTTTGGTCCAGTCAGAACCGCACTTGAAGCCATCAGCCCTGAGGACAGACAGGGCTGGGGTCAGAACAGAGGTCACCACTAGTCCCTCTGCAGGGAGCTTCCAGAGCTTCCACTCTGTCAAGGGGTTTGGTACCTCAGCAGGACCTGGTCTGGAGGGGCCTCCAGGGAGGGTCCCAAGAGGGTCTATTACAGGAGAAGAGAGGCTCAGCTGTCCCAGCAAAGGCCACAGGGTCAGCAGGCATGAGGCTGGTACCTGAACACCTGGCGGATGTTGCTGACACGCAGGTCGATGACCTTGAGTGTGTTGTCTCGGGAACAGCTGAGCAGGTGCAGCTGGTCGTGGCTGAGGCTCAGGGAGGTGACCCGGCCCTGCACAGGGATGACCTGGGTGCAGTGGGGCCCCCTGAGGAACAAGGACAGGGACAGGGATGAGGAACAGCCCAGCCAGGCCACTCCTGACAGGAAGGGGCCAGGCGTAGCAGCCTTCCCAGCTAACCAAGTCCAGAGGAACCCCAGGGCCCTGGATCCCTGGGGTAAAGGCTGCCCGTGACTCATCTCCCTTCTCCCCACTGCAGCCAGCTGCCTCCATCGAGGAACCTAGACTTTGATTTGAAAGCCAGAGCCCTTGAAACCTTTGGGTCACTAAAATAAGCACCATATCATCTGAGCAATGAAGTCTTGTCTTTAAAAAATGTAAGAGAAGAAAGGGTTGCAAACAGTAGTTGATGGAGATCAGTCAGTAAAGGCTTGAGGCAGGCCTAGCACTGGCTCTAGCTTTGCTTTTTTTTTTTTTTTGAGGCGGAGTCTGGCTCTCTTGCCCAGGCTGGAGTGCAGTGGCCGGATCTCAGCTCACTGCAAGCTCCGCCTCCTGGGTTCAAGCGATTCTCCTGCCTCAGCCTCCCGAGTAGCTGGGATTACAGGGATCTGCCACCACACTCAGCTAATATTTTTAGTAGAGACAGGGTTTCTCCATGTTGGCTGGTCTCGAACTCCTGACCTCAGGTGATCCGCCCACCTCAGCCTCCCAAAAAGCTGGGATTACAGGTGTGAGCCACTATGCCCGGCCTCTAGCTTTGCTCTTACAAACAATTCAAGCCCAAAGTTAGGATCTTTGGTTTAAAAAACAACTACAATAATTTTTTTCCTTTTGATATAAAAGTGGTAACTAAATGGAAAAAGGTACATCTCCATCTTGGTTGCAAGGTCCAGGTGGAGTCCAGCATTGGACCAAGAGCAATGAAGACAGTGGCACAGCTTCCTGGGGGAGCTGAGCCCAGCAAAGAGGCACTAGCTGGCAGTGCCAGCCCCACAGCCTTGCCTGCCCAAAGTGCCACCAAAACTCGTCCTGCCATGGCCAGAGAAAGGAACAAGAACTTGGGAGCCCTGTCCCCAGCCCTCCCCCAGTCCTCCCCCAGCCTGCGCCTGTCACCTGCTGTCCCAGAACCGGATCTTCTGGTCATTATGGCCACTAATGATGATATGGTCCCCACACACCACGTCATTACAGTAGGAAAGGACATTGATGGTCCTGGAGCCTGGGGACCAAGCAGCAGACCCCAGGGCCTCAGAGGAGGGTTGTCAGGAGCCACCCCACAGGACACATGGAGAAGCTGAGGCCCAGAACGCAGTGTCCTCCCAAGACTAGAACCCAGGTCTTCTGCTTCCCAGCCCAGGGCTCACCCACGTCTTTTTCCCACCCACAGCCTGTGGACACCAAGAAACCAGGCAGAAAACACCATTGGGGGATACCATTGGGGGACTGGAGGGCCTTGAGAGGTTTCACCCCCAAATGCCTATGAATCTCAGAGCCACTCCCAGAGAGCAGGTGAGGTCCCTCATACCCTGGCCTGGGGCTCCTGGCTGGTGGGGAGGGGAGGTCGGGTTGGGGCTCACAGTAGGCACGGCCGAGGTCCCACTCCTTCACTGTCCGGTCACGGCTCCCAGTCACTGCCTGGTGCCTTGTCAGCTTGAATTTGGCAGCTGTCACCTTATCTTTGTGTCCAGACAGTGTCTCCTGTACCCCAGCCCCAGGTGCGGATCAAGAGTTTGGCCAAGACCCCATAACAGGCCCCCTAGTCCTGACATATGACCCCTGACCCCCAGGCAGCCTCCCCAGTCAGGCCTCACCTTGGACTGTGCCTCCCCCACTTTCCAGAGCTGGGCAGCCTGGTTGTAAGTTGCTGCTAAAACCTGGTAGCCCTGGAGAAATGGGAGAGGAAAATGAGAGGTGCTAAGCCGTAGGCAACATCCTTCGGCCAGAGAATGAGGCTAGGGGCTGCCCCAGAGCTTCCCACAGCCCAGGTCTCCAAGGCAGGCAGAGGAGCCTCCGGCCCAGGGATGAGGATCTGTGTAAGAGCCCAAGGGCCTGGTTCTAAGGTATCCATGCTGCGCCCTCAGGTCCCAGAGCCCCCACCTGTCCAGTGTGGAGATCAGAGGGGCGCAATCCCATGCCACTGGGGCAAAGTTCCTCACCGAGGGGTCAAAGTCCACACTGGTGATGCTGCCACCAGCTCCCTCCAGGGTCTGGTTGACCTCTAGGCGACCTGGGAGGACCAGGAGAAGGGACAGTTGAAATGAGATCCTAACCTCACAAAATGGAGGAATTGGGATTGAGAGCAAAGATCAGTCCCCATTGCCCCCCCCAACCCCACAGGTTAGAAGACAGAATCACTGGGTCTGTTCTGTGGCCTGGGCTGGAGACTACACCTCCCCTAACTGCTGGCAGTGGGTCCCAGGGACAGCTAGTCATTTCACAGACCAGGCTAGAGAGGACCAGGAAGAAGGGACTATCTGTGGGTCATGCAGCAAGCCAGGATCAGGCCAGCCAGAAACTTGCCTTTTCTAGGAAGCCCCCAGGAACCAGCTCTGACTCCCCAGGACACCCCCTCTCCAGAGCACAGAGCTTGGGACAAGGCCAACAGTTCATACTTGTCCCTTACCTGAGTTCTGAGAGCTTAAGTGATGCTACAAGAGGATCACCTGGTAGACTCAGGGACCTGCTCTTCAAGGGCCTGTCCCTGTAGGACCTCATGATAGGGGACCCCCACCCACCCCCATCAGGGACTATCTGAACTCAGCCTTCCCCATTCTGCAAATCTGGACCCTAGGAGCCAGGAGGCTCCACCCTTCTTCAGAGCAGCGAGCCCCGAGTCTCACTCTTTCCAAGGCATTGTCTAGTCACTGCCCACAGAATATTCCAGATGGAGAAACACAAAGAGATCCAAGACCTCTGCCCACCAAGTGAACTGAGGAGCGGGTCTGGAGAGAAGCCCCGAGTTGGCCTGCAGGGGAGGGCTCCTTACTTCCCACAACATTCCAGAGGTGGATCAGGCGGTCAGCCCCTCCAGTGGCCAGGAGGCTGCTGTTGGGGCCAAAACGAACAGCATTGACCTCAGAGAGGTGGGCATCCTGTGGGGAAAGAGGAGATTGGTGCCCCAGCCCTCCCCACACATATCTCTGTGAGTGCTCACAGGCCTTCCCACCGGTGCCTGTGCAGACACAGCCTGCTGCAGACATGGTATCCCCATCCCCGGTTTCTCTGTCTACACTTTTGAGTTTCAAACCCGGCCCCACCAGGTGTTCTCACCTCTGCCAGGACCCCTGCAGCAGCCTCCGTGCTATGCTACTCTACTCTCCTGCCTGGCCTCCTGGCCTCCCAGCCTCCTCTCTCTCCCTCTCTGGCCCATTCCCCCATCATAACATGCGTAAGTGACTCCCACCACAGGCTGTGGGAGGCAGCCTCCTGCTCCTGCTGAGGAGCCCAGCCTTGCTTCCCTAGCCTCCTGGGACCACCCCTGTGCCTGCACCTCCTCACCACTGCCCCACCCATATGGCTCAGCTCCTCCCTTACCAGCACATCCTGAGCCTGGGTAGGAAGTCGGGTGGCCACACATACAGGGATGATCTGGTATCGCTGCTCAGGGGCTCCCCCAATTGAGTGACCTCTCCTCTTCTTAAAACTGGGCGTAAGGTGGGTTGGGGTCAGGAGGGCATTCAGCAAGGCCTTCTCAGGTGGGAGCCTTCAGCTCCCTTGAGGCAACAACCATAGGAAGCAGATGGGGCAGGAGGCAGAACATGGCCCCAAGAAGCAGCGAGCGCATTCCTCAACCCAGCCTTTACCCCAGGGGTCAGTGTGGAGAGCACACAGAGGCAGGCACAGGAGCAGGGTAGGGTTGGTAGGTGCAAAGAAACCTCAGGGCTGGGGTTTCAATCCCAGTCTTGCCACTTCTTGGCTCTGTGACTCTGAATGAAAAATGCTCATTCAGAGCATTTTTCCCAATTGAGTAGGAGCTCCTGCCCTGCCTGAGGCTGGAGCTCTTGGTCCCCTGTGAGGACCCTGGATGAAGACAGACCCTTGTGATGACAGAACCTGGAAGACAGCTGAGCAGGGGCTGGGGCTGAGGCCATTCACCTGGCTCCTGTCTCCAGGGCCCAACAGACTCACACAGACAGCTGCGCACCACAAGGATGGACAGGTCGAGGCGCAGACACAGACCAAGCCTGGGCTGGGGAACCTGACACACACGTGGGTGCACACAGGCACACACACACTTACTCCAGAAGCCCCTTCACCACATCCGCACAGTGGGACAGCGTCAGGGAGGTGGCTGAGGCAGACCTGAGACAAAACCGAGAGAGATGTGCTAAGGGACTGGCTGGTGTGTGTACAAATGGCTGTCCATCATCTCCACACTTTGCCAGAGACCTGGAGGCTCGTAACCTCTCAAGTCTGGGACAAGAACTTGACTTCTCCAAGACCAGGAGACTAGGATGACCCAGACCAGTCCCAGGAAGGTCAGGGCAGCAATGGATTTAGTAATGAAAGTCTCCCAAGGTCTCCCTCATGATGAGAAGAACTGCCTCACCCTACAAGTACCCACCAACAAAAGTTCCTGGGAAGCTGAGCTGGGGCCTACAGAGAAGAGGCGCTGAAGGTTCCCCCAGGGTGGGGAAAGGAGGGGGAAGCCTAGGCTTGCTGGGTGACCTCAGCAATGCCCAGGAGAGGGTGTGTCCTGCAATTACTTGGCCCACAAGGGCTCCCAAGGACTTTGGGGACCAGCATCTCATGCCCCTCCCCACGGTTTCTTCACTGCCCCAAGGCCTGGACACTGGGGACCTGCAAGGAAAGACTGAGAAGAGGCGTTAGGCTGGGGAATGGGGCCCGGAGAGGGGCAGCCTCAATGACAGGCAAATCAAGAGGGGAGACCCTGCGGAGGGGTACCCAAGGTCTGAAGCCCCAGTCAGGTCCCACAAGTGTTAGCGCACATCTACACATGCTCATACGTTCACACACAGACGGGCTTAGTCAAGTTTGTACACACCTGTGTCTCATGTCCCTGTGGATGCACATGCTTGTACACCTATGGCTGCACACACATGCCTGGCATGACTGGGCTCTGGGCTTTACCCACAGGTTCCCTCCTGGTGACAGCTATTCACAAGCCTGACACCCCACCCCCAGAGCTCTGATCCCAAGAAGGAGGGAAAGGGTTGAGGGTAGGGGTTGGGGTGGGTGAGATGGAACTGACCACAAGTGGCTCCAGACAATGGAGGTCAGACTAGCCCTGGGAGATCTGAGCTTTCTGGCCTCTCCTCAAGCTCCCTCCCAACCCAAGAGCTGACTCCAAGGTCCAAGAGGAAGACCCTGGCAGCCTCTGGGGTGGGGCTGAGCTCAGAGCTCTGAGACCACCACCTGGGTCCTCACCTGAAGGGCCTCTTCCACTTCTCACAAGCTTCATTCTCCAGGGGCTCTGGCTCAGGGGCTAGAGCCAGAGTCTCGGTTCTCTCCCTCATCCCATCGCCTACAGTGTCCGGACCCCTAGGAGGAGAAATTAAGCTCAGAAACGCCAAGGGACCAAGCCAGCCCCTCCCGACCCCAGCACAGGACATGCTGAAGACAGGAATTCTCAGTGATGAGGGTTCTGTGTGGGTACACCGTGCAGCGGGCACGCATGCAGGCTCCTACGACCACACGGTCGTCTGCAGGTGTCCCGTGGGCCCCGACTACTTGGGGTCCTCGGGACGCGACTATGCACAACTACAGTCGGCGGCCTGGGTCGCCGCAGGCAGGCGGGGCCGGGAAGCAGAACACAAGGGTCGGACCGGCCCATCCCCACTCTTACTCGCTGATGCTCACGGTCCGCTTGGCAGCCTTCTTCAGCTCCTGGGACACCCGCGCCTGCTTGGCCCTTGTTGGGTAAAAAGCATCCTGAGAGCCTGGCGCGGCGCCTCGCACGCAGGCGGGGCGCGACCCGGTCCCTTTCTCCAGTGGGCGGCTGCTGCCCGCCTCCCTTCCAGACACAAGCGAGGCCCGACTCTCCCTTCAGGGGCGGGGCCTTTCCTCAGAAGGGGCGGGGCCTGCTCCCTCACCGCTCCCGGCGCTCGTTGCGCAGGTTGCGCTCAGCTGCGGCGCGCGCCTTGCGCTGCACGAGCCTCTCCAGCAGGTCGCGCGCCTCCTCCTGGAGCCTGCGCAGTGCCGCCTCCCGGAGCCCGACGTGCGCGCGCAGCGCCTCGTAGGCTGCCCGCTGCACAGCGTTCTGCGCCCGCCGCTCTTCCACCTGCTGGGCCTGCTGCGCCCGTGCCTCTCGCAGCTGCGCCACGCGGACCTTCAGGGTTGCCAGCCTGGAGGATGGAAAGAGCGGATAGCGGGTCCCAAGCCTCCCCCGTCACTGCCCAGTGGGAATCTGCCTCGGAGCAGAGACCGACCTGCCCATGCCAAACGCGGCTAGCCGGTGGCTAAGCCAGGTCTCCCCCAAGACTTCGCCCTCAGAGCCCAGCCGTTCGGTCCTCTGGCACCAACCGATAGGCTCAGGGGCACGTGGGGAAAGCTCTTGGCCCGCGCCATTCTCCCGCATGGTTGGCCCTGGGCCTCCCCGAGGTGGGCGCGGTCCCTCCCGCCCCCGCCCCCGCCCGCGCCCGCGCCCGCGCCTCACCTGCTTTGCAGCTCCTGCAGCTCCGACTCCAAGGCGCCCAGGGCCACGCTCTTCTCCACCACCTGGTAGGCCATCTGGGGGCGGACAGGTGAGCACGGCGGCGCTGAGGCCCCTCCAGGCCTCTAGTCCCTCCCGGGCCGAAGGCGCTAAGGGACAGTTGGCTGCTCCCCTGCCCGCCCCCTTCCTGAAAAACAAGCCGAGCCCCACACAGGTTTGGGACCTTGCAGAGGGACGCGCTGCTGTTTGTGGAGCAGTGGAAGGCCCTCGGGCTCTGGAGTCAGCCCTGGGTCCCAGTCCTCGCTGTGCTGCTTCCTTTCTCTGCGACCCTACTAGGAACCTCTCTGGCAAGACCAACCCGCTACGCTGCCTCGCCTGAAGAGTGAGAAGACATCGCTCCGCTCCCAGCGCCATGCAGAATCACTTCGAGGACTCCTGGCGCAGAGGCTGCTAAATGCCCATCCGGCCCTCGGGTGCCATGATGTTCCAGCAGGCTACATGCTCTTTCCATCCTCACCACACCGGGAGGCTGGTACTGCCACTCTCACTTCACAGACGAGGACACCGACAGAGAGGTTTAAGTGTCTGGCCCAAAGTCACGTAGCTAAGAGATTTGAGCCCAAGCCACCTAACTGCATCACCCTCCAGGCTGGTCAGGGGAATGTGAGTTCTGTTCCCCACCCCTCCCTGGGGCCTTCCTGGCTTCACTCAACCCAGGCCTGCCCAAGCACAGGTCTCAGCAGCGAGGAGCCCTGCGCAGAGGCACACAAGGCTAAAATCAGGCATGGACTCGGGGAGCCAGGGCCCAGACTCAATATGGGAACAGCCCTGGCAGCCTAGGAGAGGCAGTGAGGGTCATTTCATCTGCACCCCCATCTCACTCGACATGCCTTCAACTCAGAGCCAAGCAGGGTCGGTGGGAGAGACAGACCCCAGGCAAGGCAGCTCCCACCAGTGTGACAAAAGAACATGAGGGCCAGAGGCGCCTCTGGCCCAGGCCAAGGCTGGGGGCTCTTATTGCTAATCTGTTCCTGTGTTCTCACGTGGGCCTGGTGAGGACAGACTGAGGAGCAAGGTTGATGCTGCCACCTGCACTGACATGACGCCCTATGTGAGTGAGTCTGCGGAGAGGGAATCTGCACATGCGGGTTGGGGTACCTTTATTCATAGTTGGCCCCATTTATAACATAATTGTTTTCACCACTGAGTAATCTGATCACCACCTCCACTTTCTCACCTGTTACTTGCTTTCATTTATGTTGTACTATTATGTTATACCATTCAATATTTTATTGTATGCCTTTCAAAATTCAAGTAGTAGAGGTGGAAAACAGATTAGTAGTTGCCAGGGGTAAGGGATGGTTGAGGGGAGAGGGGTGAATGTGACTAAAAAGGGGTAGCAAGAAAGAGATCTTTGTGGTGGTGAAACAGTGCCATATCTTGATGGTCACACAAATCTACACGTGATAAAATGATAAAGGACATATACACACTTAACACCAATCCCAGTTTCCTGGTTGTGGGTACTATAGTTATGTAAGATGTAGCCAGTGGGAGATGCTGGGGGAAGGGGACGCAGGAACTCTCTGGACTATCCTTGCAACGTCCTGTGAATCTATAATTATTTTAAAATAAAAAGTTAAAGTAATAATAATGATAAATGCTTGTGATGTGTGGAACTACTAGAGAAATTTTTACAAAAGAAAAGAAAAAGCCTCCCCACTGCCCCCATCCACTGGCGCATCCAATGGGTACTGGCTGGTGTGTGTCCAGGGACGGAATGCTGGGGGCCAGGGAAAGCATCCCAGGCAAAGGGAGCCAGGAGCTCAGAGATGAGAATGGCAGGAAATGCAACAGGAGCCTGGTGAGCTCAACGGGGGAGCCAGGCTAGGAGCTTTGGAAGATCTGCAGCACACTAACCATGGAGAGAGGTAGTAAGACGGGCCTTTACTTTTTACTCTATGGCTTCTATTCTCTTGAGTTGTTTACAAGCATGTTTTGTGTACTGCTTGTCTTTAATGGAGATCTTTTTTTTAATTAAAATATGCCACTCTGAAAGCTGTATGGAGAAGGGACAGGGAGTGCTGAAGGAGTGTTCCAGGGTAGGATGAAAGTTACTTGTACCATGTCAGATATGGTACAAGAAACAGACATTGATGGATTTGGAGACAGTCAACATGACCTTGTGACCAGCTCAGGATGGAGGGCTGGGAAGAGTCAGAGGCGCCCGGGCGTTTCCAGCCTGTGTGAGAACCACTGGGGGGCAGTCACAGGAAGGACAGCCCACCTCATTCATAGCTTAGTCTACAAATAGTCCTTAGTATGGAATGGACTGTGAACACAGGCCCTAAAGATACAGGTTTGCCTTGGAGGCAAAACAAGACATCCCACGGCTTGGGGAGCTCACAGCCCAGAGGCAGGGGGTGGTGTAGGGGGTCAGATGTTTGAGAATCACCTCTCAAACAAATACTGAATTGGACCTACAACAGCAGCTCTGGGGAAAGGTTCTCAAATGAGTCCGTACCTATGCCCACACTTCTGTTGGGCAGGTGACTTGCCATGCTGTGACTGGATGTGTATTTACTGGGCTATCACAGTCTCCTTCAGAGGACTGGAAGCCCCCATGGGCCAGCTCTTGTTTATTGCTGCATTCCCTGTACCTTGGATATAGCAACTGTCAATAGATGTTGAGAGAATGAATGGAGAGAACAGAAGGTAATTTGTGTGAGAGGGGCTCAAATCCTGGCTCTACCTCTCCAAGCCTCAGTTTCCTCCTCTGCAACCATAAAGTTCTGAAGGATTAACTGAGACAATGTTTAGCCCAATGCCCGCAGGGAGTCAACTCTCAAAACAGCGTGGACCAAAACAGCGTGGGCCAAATTCTGGGGGAGATGGTGAGCCTGATTTTAGATGTGATGTCCAAGAAGCAGCTAAGCAAGAGAGTCAGGAGCTCAGAAAAGAAGGCTGGGCTAGAGACAGATCTGAGAGTTGGCAAACAGAGAAAATGGGAGTCCGTGAGCCCCAAGAACACCCATATTTGAAGGAAGGGGAATAGGGAGGAGGGAAAGGAGGCAGTGAAGGAAGTTCAGAGGCAACAATCACAAAAATGAGAGGGAAACTAGGAGAGCATGGTGCAAGAGAAGCCGAGAGATACTGTTGCAAGGGGACAGGGAAGGCGGTAGTGTCAGGTGGAGCGTCCACACCCTGCCAATGAGCTAAATGAACCTTACTCCTGTAGTCTGCAAATGTACATTGAGCATCAACTGGTGCGAGGCCTTGGGGATGGCTGGGCGAGGGGTTAGCCATGGAGTAGTGAGCAGAGTAGGCTAAACAATGTGGAAGGGAAATGGGCTGCCAGGCCCTTGCACACCTAACTCCCTCCAGCTGCTGTTGGACCCACTTCATTGTGGGCTGCCCGGGGCACTCTGACCCCTGCTCAGCTTCAGGTCAGGGCCTGGCACACACTAGGGCTCACTCAATGCTTATAGCACTGGCCTTGGAGAATGCAGCAAACACAGGTGTACCCCTCACTGGCTGGCTCCCTTGGACCACATCTCTCTACACCATTTTCAGACCCCTTCCCAACTTACCTCACCACAGACCAGCCGGAGCCCCTCTTCCTCCTCCTGCCACTTCACCCTCAGTGTGGCCAGTGATGGGACTTGGTCTGAGTCAAGCCCTGACTCCTCCCTGCCAACCAATCAGAGTGGTGCTCAATGTCCCCCAGTTCACCCAAGTGCCCAAAGGCACCCAAGGGATGCTACATGAAAAGCCTAAAACAAGAGCCATTAACTTCCTCCTGGGAAGATGGAAGCTAGCAAGCCAGTAAAGGAAAAGGCAAGTCTCTAGAAATGAGCTGTCCATGACTCCTCTGCTCCAAGATTCCCCTAGGCCTTGGCCAAGGACCCTTCTCAAGAGCCACCTCCCAGCCGGGTGCGGTGGCTCACGCTGTAATCCCAGCACTTTGGGAGGCCGAGGTGGGCGGATCACAAGGTCAAGAGATGGAAACCATCCTGGCCAACATGGTGAAACCCCGTCTTTACTGAAAATACAAAAATTAGCCAGGGGTGGTGGTGTATGCACCAGGAGGCTGAGGCAGGAGAATTGGTTGAACCCAGGAGGCGGAGGTTGCCGTGAGCTGAGATCAGGCCACTGCACTCCAGCCTGGCTGACAGAGCCAGACTCCGTCTCAAAAAAAAAAAAGAAAAAAAAAAAAAAGAAGCACCTCCCAACTCTGAATCCCAACCTATTCCTGGTTCTCATCTTTACTCCCTCTTTGGAATAGGCAGCAAGACCCTTTCTTTAGGCATCAGGCAAGGAACAGGGAAATAGAAAAAGACTGAGAAAGGGAAAAGACGTTAAGTGTAGGGGTGGGAGGGGAAGGAGATGGGACAAATGCAGAAAGATGGACAAAGAAAGTTGGAGGGGAAAGACATTCTAAACAGCTATCCTGTGGGAAGGCCAAGGGCCTGCCTCCCCCACCACCCCCACCACCCCTGGGCAGCAGCCAGGGGCTGATGAGGCGCTAGGGAGAGAATGAACCCAGCACAGGCAGCTCTTTGTGACCACAGACACACATACACTCACCAGGGGCCTTGGTGGGTGGTGGGAGTGACACTGTTTGGCTCCGGCTGCAGCTTCTTTGAGAACTTGTCCAGCAGCTCAGCCTTCTCTAAGAGATGGTTATCTGGAGGGTGCAAAAGAGTGAGCCTGGGGCAGAGACAGATACCCAGCAGCCCCCTGGCATGCAAGTTATCTCCAGCTAGGATGGCTGCAGGAGCCCAGAGATGCTAGGCATGGGGAAGCTTCTGGCAGGCTGGCCTTGCCCCATGCCTGAGGGGCGTCTGTGCAGCTCTACAGGACCTTCAGCCCTAGCAGTGTCCTCATAGCACCGGTCCCCAGGCCCACCGGGAAGAGGACCTGCTCTCCCAGGGACAGAAGGATGACCACTGCGGGGTACTGCCTGCTGAGGGTCCTGAGGGAAGGAAGGGGCCTGGAATTGATTCATCCCTGCCTCAGAGCAAGGTTTAGCCCCAGAAAGTGATAAACCGAGCTCTACCTGTCAATAGCCTTTGGCAAGTCACTTCCCCTCCAAGGGCTCTAGCTTTCTGCACTTAAAAATAATCCCCGGCCAGGCGTGGTGGCTCACGCCTCAATTCCCAGCACTTTGGGAGGCCAAGGTGGGCGGATCACAAGGTCAGGAGATTGAGGCCATCCTGGCTAACACGGTGAAACCCCGTCTCTACTAAAAATTACAAAAAATTAGCCAGGCGTGGTGGCAGGCGCCTGTAGTCCCAGCTACTCTGGAGGCTGAGAAGGGAGGCTGGCGTGAACCCGGGAGGCGGAGCTTGCAGTGAATGGAGATCCCGCCACTGCACTCCAGCCTGGGCAACAGAGAGAGACTCCCTCTCATAAATAAATAAATAAATAATCCCAACTTCCCCAGCCCTGGTGTAAGGTACCCCCAGGCTAGAATAGAAAGTCCTTAAGCAATTATTCAGCAGACATTCTGGAGGTTTTGACCCTGGAACACACTCCCTCCCCCATCAACAGTCACTTCCTCTTTTCTCACCAGTTCCAGGGGAGGGCGGGGTAGTAAGCCCAGGCCTAGCTCCCTCCTCATCAACTTCCTTCCCACACTACTTCCCACCTGTCTGTCACCTTGACTGAGGCCCCTGGGCCTGGCCTAGTTCTCACGAAAACCCCACCTCAGCCCCCAGGGTACTGCACCCCCCAGCAAACCTAAAGAAGGTCTCTATACCCAATTAACAAGCAAGCAGACTGAGGTTAATACCTAATTAACAAGCAAGAAGACTGTGACCTGCCCAAAGTCTCAAGACTGGCCCTTCGGTCTGATTTCAGCCCTCCAGGTCTCTCCAGTCCCTCAGACTCACAGCTCCCTGGGGGGGGCGGTCCCCCCCCTCCTCAAACTGGACGGTTCCACTGTCCGTCTGAGCAGTGGAAAAGTGTGGCTGCTGGAGGTGGGGGCTGGCCTCGAAACCCTGAAGGCAGAGGACCAGCAGCCTGGAAGCTTGCAGAGAAATTTCCCTGGCTAAGAGCAAATTTGATTGTGGGGGTTTGGCCAAGATTAGCCCCAGTGAGAGAGCCGCAGGGACTGTGATTAGACTTCCAACAGCAGACAAACAATCGCAGGTGGCCAGAGGCGCGACACACAGGCACACCTGTTCATGCCGTCTTGAACTGCCACACCCCATCCTGACCAGCTGCCCAGAAACAATTCTGAGAGTCCGACTTCGCTGGACTCAGCCGGCATCCGCCAGCAGCCCGGGGCCCCCTGATGCCCCCTCAGGTTGGGTAGGCTGACGGGGAGGTGTTCCATAAGCCTGCGCCAGCGTCGCCTGTCGGCGGCAGAGCCTGAGATGCACAGCCTCCTCCTTAGAGGTTCCGAGTGTCGCCCCTCTCCGGATGGGCCAATAAGTGGCTGCTCTGGACAAGTCCCGCGTTCTTTCATTGCGCTACGGAGACTAAGTGCACTAATCAAGCCCCTACCCCGGGGACTGCCCGGAAGGGGAGGCACAAGAGACCCTTCAAAACCAACACCCGGGGACGCACTTGCGTCTCGGAAGCCCAGCTCGTGGGAGGCAGAGCCCGTCCTGAAGGGCGACGAGGGCGGGGGGGCAGGAGGGGCTTGTCCAGGTTCTAAGCAGAGCCTGGATGGCAAGGGGCGGAGTCCTGGCAGTCGGGGTGGGCGTAACGCACAGGCTCAAGGCACAAGGCACAGCGCACTCGGGTCACAAGCGGAGGAACCAGTCAAACCCTCTCCCCGCGCCCGTAGCCGCGTCCCCTCAGCGACCATCCTCTCAGCCCCGGGGCGCACTCACAGGCCGGCACCAGCTCCAGGAAGAGCGCCTTTTGCGTACGGTCCCGAAGACGCAGCTGCCACACAATGTGGCGTTTCCATCGGGCTACGGGGGCGCCGGGGACGCCGGGCCCAGCCATGGCCGCGCTCTGCCGCCTCTCGGCGCGTTCCTCTCGCCCAGGACGGCGCCAGGCCCGGGCGGGGCCTTGTGCGGACTCCGTTACGCCAGGGGGCGGGCGGTGGCGGGGAATCCCCGGCTTGTCCCAAGAGCGCTCTGGTTGGGAGGACCGAAGGCCGACGCCGGGAGGAGCCGCCTCCGGGTCTGAACCGCCGGGGTCCCGCCCGAAATGTTCACCTAAGTGGGGGCTCTTGTGGCTGTGAGGGTCATAAGCAGGAGCGAGGTCGGAGCCTCCGGGGCGGCTTCCCCCACGCGGGTGGAGCGCTCCGGAGGTGGGGCCCTCAAGGTCCGGGTCCCTTAACCCCGTCGCGCCGGAGCGGAGTGAGTCCCACAGCTGCTGATGCTCCCCATGCCGCTGCGGTCCCGGCCGCGCGCCCAGTCAGGGACCCGGAGGCCCTCAGCCCCGGGCTCTGCGCGTACACTGAGGGCGCGCGCAACAGGACAGCGAGATGAGGAAGCAGAGACGGAAGGGAGGAATCCCAGCCTTCCGGGGATGATGGCGTTCGAGTTGGGTCTGTGAGGGATGAAATAGGAGTTGGCCAGAGGGAGAGAGAGAGGGACTCTAGGCCTCGAGAAGAGCACGTGCAGAGGTTCCGTGACACGAAAACGCCAGGCAGGTGTGGGGCTGGGAGGACAGGAGGCAGAAGGGTTTATGGCTCCACATGGTCGCCGAAATTTTAGGTCCCTGAGAGTAAAGGGGTGCAGCTGCTTTCATCTGGAAAGCCCCTGGCCGGGAGGAGAGAAGGGACTTGCTTGCCTGGGGTTGCAAGGGAGTGGGTGGCTGAGATGGCCAGCACCCCAGCATCCTGACTCAGGGCCGGATGCTTCATCCCACTGGGTGGAGCAGACACATCTCTTGTGGATACCCTTGAAAGTGAACCGTGGGTCGCAGGGCACTGGTCAAATCGTCTCTAGCTAGGTGCTAGAGAGCCACCTCTGCAGGCTCAGGCTCCTGTGACACACAAAAGGAGGGACTCGCTGGGCCCAGCCCCACCCTGGGGCATGCCAGCAGGCCCTGCCCTCTGAGTGCTGGCAGACCTGGCCTTCCCTAGGAAATGAGAGAAATTGGGCAACCTTGGGAGAGCAGTGCAGGCCCTGGAGGTGACGAGTCTGTTGAGATTCTGATGGGGGACGGGTCAGAGGATGTAGAAAGCAGCGAAGGCCCAGTCGCCCCCAGGTCAGTGTAGCCTGCCCTGCTTTCACAGTGAGCTGGGCTCAGTCTCTCATATGTCACTGTCTTAGACGCCCATGGCCTTTGCACAGGCCAAGCCTGATGTTTGGAACACCATCCCCTCTAGCGGGCCTGGCTCCTAATCACGCATCACCTCCTCCAGGAGTACTTTCCTGCCCCTACACTAAGTTCAAGCTTCTCAGATACCAGCCCCAGTTGAGTTCGAGTTATAACTGTCGCCAGTTATCACACCATCCTGTAATCTGTGCAGTGCCCCTTAGGGCAGGGCCTGGGTCCCAGATGTCTCTGTACCTCTAGCCCCAGCCCAGGCCTGGCCTGTCTCTTGAAGGAGTATTTCTGTTGAAGATGGGTGGTAACATTCAGCAAAAGGCATGCCCAGGAGACAGGCACAGTGCCCGTGGAGACCCAGGGCCAGCTGATGACAGTGATGAATTCCCTTTAGAACTGGCTGACTCTTGGGTGCTTGGAGACACCATATAAATAAGGAACTCTGGCTGTGTGCATTGGAGAGGATATTAACAGGGCTTGGCCTGGCTGTGAGGTGCAGAGATGCTGTTTCTCTCAGGTAAGGAGTCATATTGGGGCAGGGTTTCCTAATCCTTTTTTGACTCACAAAATACACCTAGGAAATGTTAAATAAATTGTCATTTTTGAGTAGTATATGATAAAGAAGTGATTGATTTTGACTAAAAATATTCATGTTCTACTTTTAGAATATGAAAGACTGTATTACAAAGATCACTTGAAATAAAATTTTAGATAACATAATATATGGAGACAAATTTCTGCTTTTTACATTTAACTTGCTGTTTAATGTATCTCAAATTAATTATGTAAGAGAAATATGATTTGACCAATAAATATAAAAAAGTGTTATACCATGATCTGGGGACCTAATGTACTTTACTTTTTTTGTTCTGTTTTGTTTTTGAGACAGGGTCTCTCTCTGTTGCCCAGGCTGGAATGCGATGACACAATCATGGCTCACTGCAGCCTCATTCTCCTGGGATTAAATGATCCTTCCACCTCAGTCTCCTGAGTAGCTGAGACTACAGGCACATGCCACTATACCTGGCTCTTTTTTTGTTTGTTTTTGAGACAGAGTCTCACTCTGTCACCCGGGCTGGAGTGCAGTGGTAAATCTCGGCTCATTGCAACCTCCACCTCCGGGGTTCAAGCGATGCATCCGCCTTTCGAATAGGTGGGATTACAGGCACGCGTCACCACACCCAGCTAATTTTTGTACTTTTAGTAGAAATGGGGTTTCACCATGTTGGCCAGGCTGGTCTCCAGCTCCTGACCTCAAGTGATCCACCCTCCTCAGCTTCCCAAAGTGCTGGGATTACAGGCGTGAGTCACCGTGCCTGGCCACCCAGTTCATTTTAAATTTTTCTTTAAAGACAGGGTCTCACTATGTTGCCCAGACTGGTCTTGAACTCCTGGGCTCAAACATTCCTCCTGCCTTGGCCTCCCAAGTGCTAGCATTACAGGCATGAGCTACTGCACCTGACCCTAAAGTACTTTAGAATGTAGTTTAAAACTTGCACCTGGCTGGGTGCGGTGGCTCACACCTGTAATTCCAGCATTTTGGGAGGCCAAGGCGGGCAGATCATGAGGTCAGGAGATTGAGACCACAGTGAAACCCTGTATCTACTAAAAATACAAAAAAATTAGCCGGGTGCAGTGGCGGGCCCCTGTAGTCCCAGCTACTCAGGAGGCTGAGGCAGGAGAATGGTGTGAACCCGGGAGGTGGAGCTTGCAGTGAGCCGAGATCGCGCCACTACACTCCAGCCTGGGGGACAGAGCGACCCTCCGTCTCAAAAAAACAAAAAAAAAAACAAAAAAACTTGCACCTGGGAGGCCAGACACGGTGGCTCACACCTGTAATCCCAGCACTTTGGGAAGCTGAGGCAGGTGGGTCACAAGGTCAGGAGTTCAAGACCAGCCTGGCCAGAATGGTGAAACCCCATTTCTACTAAAAATACCGAAAAAAAAAAAAAAAAAAAAAAAAGCCAGGCCTGGTGGCTGGTGCCTGTAATCCCAACTACTTGGGAGGCTAAGGCAGAGAACTGCTTGAACCTGGGAGGCAGAAGTTGCAGTGAGCCAAGATCGCGCCACTGCACTCCAGCCTGGCGACAGAACGAGACTCCATCTCAAAAAAAAAAAAACCTTGCACCTGGGTTAGGCATCTGCCAGAAGCCAGAGTGATTGTTCAAAAACTTAAATCAGGCCAGGCACAGTGGCTCACGCCTGTAAGTAATCCCAGCACTTTGGGAGGCCGAGGTGGGCAGGTCACCTGAGGTCGGGAGTTTAGGACCAGCCTGACCAACATGGAGAAACCCCATCTCTACTAAAAATACAAAAGTTATCCAAGTGTGGTGGCGCACGCCTGTAATCCCAGCTACTCGGGAGGCTGAGGTAGGAGAATGGCTTGAACCCAGGAGGCAGAGGTTGCGGTGAGCTGAGATTGCGCCACTGCACTCCAGCCTGAGCAACAGGACAAGACTCCGTCTCAAAACAACAAAAACAAAACCTTAAATCATCTCAAGTTCCTCTTGCTTAAAACCCTTGAAAGGCTCTCCAGCATAGTCAAAGCAAATACCAAACCCTTTACCATGGCCTTCAAGGCCCCGCTTGATCTAGCCCCTGCCCACATCACTGATCTTACCTCTTCCTACTCTTTAGCCTTATTCACTGCACTGAAAGCCCACTGCCAAGCTTAGTCCCACCTTGGAGGCTTTGCCCTGGCTGCACCCCCTTCCTAGTGCTCTTCCTCCACAACTTTTAGGGGCTAGCTCCTACATACCAGGCGGACCTTTTCTGTCACCCATTCTGAAAAAGCTCCCATCCCAATAAGCATCTATCACATCACCCTTGTTCTTCCTTTCAGAACACCTAATACTCCCAGAAAGAATCACATTTCTGTGTTTGCTAGCTGTTTATTATGTCTCTTCTACAGACAGGCTGGTCTGTGGTTACAGTGATTTCTTTTTTTTTTTTTCCGGAGACAGAATCTCGCTCTGTCGCCCAGGCTGGAGTGCAGTGGCATGATCTTGGCTCACTGCAACCTCCACCTCCCGGATTCAAGCAGTTCTCCTGCCTCAGCCTCCTGAGTAGCTGGGACTACAGGCACATGCTGCCACGCCTGGCTAATTTTTTGTATTTTAGTAGAGACAGGGTTTTACCACGTTGCCCAGGCTGGTCTCGAACTCCTGAGCTCAGGCAGTCTGCTTGCCTCGGCCTCCCAAAGTGCTAGGATACAGGCGTGAGCCACCGCACCTGGCAGTAGAGTGATTTCTAATATTGCCCATGACTCTGTTGGCTGAACTCAGCTGGTGATTCTCACTTTGAGTGGCTTATGTGACTGCGATCACACCAGGACTGGAGTTACCTGAAGACTCAGCTGGGCGGGTTGCTGTTGATGGCTTGCTCATTTGGCTGGCAGGAGATGCCATCCATTGGTTAGAGGGTCGGAGCTGCAAACCAAAGCACCTACATATGGCCCCTTCGCATGGCTTAGCTTTCTCAGAGCATGGTGGCTAGATTCTGAGAGGGAGCATCCCAAAACATGCATCCAACAGTACGAAAGCTGTCAGTCTCTTACGATTTGACCCTGAAATTAGAACACATCACTTCCTCTGCATTCTATTGACCAAAGCAGTCACAGACCAGCTCAAATGGAAGGATAGGGGACATAGGCCCCAGCTTTCAATGAAAGGAATGTCAAGCCAGGCACAGTGGCTCACACCTGTAATCCCAGCACTTTGGGAGGTCAAGGCGGGCGGATCACGAGGTCAGGAGTTCGAGACCAGCCTGACCAACATGGTGAAACCCTGTCTCTACTGAAAATGCAAAAATTAGCTGGGTGTGGTGGCACATGCCTGTAATCCCAGCTACTCAGGAGGCGGAGGCAGGAGATTTGCTTGAACTCCGGAGGTGGAGGTTGCAGTGAGCCAAGATTGCACCATTGCACTCTAGCCTGGGCAACAGAACGAGACTCCATCTCAAAAAAACCAGGAAAAAAAAAAAAAAAAAGGAATGTCAAAAAAGGTCTGGCCATCTTTAATCCATCACATGTGATACTAAATAAAACTCCAAATCTCAGTCGCTTAACACAACAAAGACTTACTTCTTACTCATCCCACATTAGACAATGATGGTGTACTGTTCTCCCCCAGCAGTGACTTAAAACCAGAGTGCGTCCTTCTGACATCACCATAATCTCAGTTATTTGATTTCAACTGCTCAGATCGGGGTAGGGGAAAGGGAAAAGACTGAGATGAACACTTAATTGCCTTGGACTGAAGTGACACATTCTTCTGCCCAATTCCAACTGGTGACATCACATCTACTAGGAAGGCTGAGAAATGTAGTCTTTCCGTATTTCCTGGAAAAGAGAAATGGGTATGGATACATCACTGTGGTTAACACACACCAGTTTCCCAGTCTCCTCCTCTAAAAGCATCACCACTAACACTACATAGTGTATACTTCCAGAAACATTTGTGCATATACAACACATAAAACACAAAGGGGGCCAGGCACGGTGGCTTACGCCTGTAATCCCCGAGCAGATCACTTGAGTCCAGGAGTCTGAGACTAGCCTGGGCAACATGGCGAAACCCTGTCTCTTCTAAAAATACAAAAATTAGCCAGGCATGGTGGCACGTGCCTGTAGTCCCAGCTACTCCAGAGGCTGAGGTGGGAGGATCACTTGAGCCCAGGAGGCAGAGGTTGCATTGAGCTGTTATCATGCCACTGCACTCAGCCTGGGTGACAGAGTGAGACCTTGTCTAAAAAAAAAAAAGAAAAAAAAAACCCCACAGAAAACACAAAGGGGCCGGGCGCGGTGGCTCAAGCCTGTAATCCCAGCACTTTGGGAGGCTGAGACGGGCGGATCACGAGGTCAGGAGATCGAGACCCATCCTTGGCTGACACGGTGAAACCCGTCTCTACAAAAAATACAAAAAAACTAGCCGGGCATGGTGGGCGGGCGCCTGTAGTCCCAGCTACTTGGGAGAGCTGAGGCAGGAGAATGGCATGAACCCGGGAGCGCGGAGCTTGCAGTGAGCCAAGATCACGCCAACTGCACTCCAGCCTGGGCGGCAGAGCGAGACTCCTGTCTCAAAAAAAAAAAAAAAAAAAAACAAAGGGTAGCAATTTACAACTTCCACACTTTGCTTCCTTCCTCTTTTTTTTTTTTTTTTTTTTATGGCGGAGCCTTAACTCTGCTGTCCAGGGTGAGAGTGCAATGGCACAATCATAGCTCCATTGTAACCTCAAACTCCTGGGCTCAAATAATCCTCCCACCTCAAGCCTCCTGAAACTAAAGATATGAAGCCACCACACTCCTGGCAAGCAAAGGATTTAAAATAGACACTTTCTTCAGGCCAGGCCACGGTGGCTCCCGCCTATAATCCGCCAGCCTTTTGGGAGGCCAAGCGGGCGGATCACCTGAGGTCAGGAGTTCAAAGACCAGTGTGGCCACATAGTGAAACCCCATATTCTACTAAAAATACCAAAATTAGCTGGGTATGGTGGCGCTTACCTATAGTCCTCCACTACTTAGGAGGCTGAGGCAGAAGAATCAGCTTGAACCCGGGAGGCACAGGTTGCAGTGAGCAGAGATCCGCACCACTGCCTCCAGCCTGGGCGATGGGAGTGAGACACCATCTCAAAAATAATAAAAGAACATTTATTCCAAAGAAAATATACAAATGGCCAATAAGCATGTGAAAAATTGCTCAACATCATCAGTAGGGAAATGC